CTTAACCCGAAAGCCCACAGTGGGGTTACACGAGGTGTACCCCCTTTAGTACGCTCAGCGTACACAAGCACGCATGAAACTGATCGGGGACCTCAAGCCAGTACGCGGGGCGTACTAGAATTACGTTGCGTGTACGCCCAATTATACTTAATCCTTTCTCCTGGTCTTAACCTGTTAATACCTTAACTCATCTCTCAGATCTTGACTTCCTAAGGGCTCTTACTCTATAATGTTAGTGACTTTACGCCTTTGCATGGCTGATAAGGTCACAACACATAAAACTCTTACTTTCTTAACTCCAAAATGCTCATATCCCATGCATGGGCTGATTCTCACGATCAAGACCTCATTTTTATGGATCGTCTCCACTAAATACACTTAAAAGGATAGGTATAAATCTCTGGAGTGCAACAACTCATAAAGCCTCAAGCTTTGGGACCAAAAACCCTAAAATGGACCATAACTTGCACAAACAAAAAGGATGAGAAAGCTTTGAGCTTTATACCTTCAAATGATGCTTCAACCACAGAAAAGCTCAGATCCAAAGTCTGGACTCCAACTTTATTCTCTTCCATGCACCTTCTTCACTCCAAAGATCCCATGTGAACACTTATTAGCTCACAATGGCCACACACCAACTCATTAACGAAGATTAGGGTTTGAGAGGGTTTATGGATTAAGGATGGTGGCCAATGATGAGACTATCTCATTCCTTATATAAGGACAATTCTCTTAATTAGGGTTTTCCTTTTGTGCCTAGTACGCCCAACATACCCTCTGGTACGCCCAGCGTACCAGGTGGCTCTTGCTTAAGCAACAGGCGCATTTGTACACTAAGCGTACGCATACATACGCCCAATGTACTTCGCTGCTACAATTCTCAACTTTACGGACTTATCTTGCCAAATATCCAAGCTTCCATAGCTTCTTGATATAACTTTGATTCCAAAAAGAATCCTCATACCTACGGATATGTAATGAGATGCCCTACATTTCTAGCAACTCGCCGCAACCCGAGACCTCCTCATGCCCGACTTGTGGCCCAAGAACCCTAATCATGGACAATCTGAAACAGGATGTTACAATGAAATAATTATATCTTTAAATAATTTTATGTATCTTCTAAAATGAAAGTGTGGTTTGTGACTTCCAAACTATACCAATTATAGTTTATGTTGTTTGTTTGAAACTATTTATATAATCTTTTGTATAAATAAGAATGTGTATTCTTTTCTAATATTAAAATATGAAATCAAAACATAATATCTTTGGGTTGTAACCCATCAAATTAGTAAATGACTGTAATGTAACCGTTTTTTGCTAGAAAAGCTATTTTTTTTATAAAAGTTTTCAAAACCATGGAGTTTTACAAATCATAAATTTTTCTTATGATTTTATAACATAGATTATGTTTGTCTTGTTAGCTTTGTAATTTAAACTAATATATATATATATATATATATATATATATATATATATATATATATATATATATATATATATATATATAACAATAGTTATACAAAAACTAGTATTACCCATATGTTATGCAAATAATATTTTATCTTTAGCATAAGATGAAAACATGTAAAAAGAGAAATAAACAAAGTTTTACTTGTATCCCCCCCCCCCCTTCCCACCACCACCACCCATTAAAACATGTAAATCTTGAAAATATGGGGGCATGAACTCACTTTTAATGGATTTGTAGATTGTTTAAGAAGATGGTGTGAAGATTTCCAAGCCTAAATCCTTGGATAAGGTTCATGGACTTCTTGGAAATGGTATGATCCTAAAGGTTTATAACACATAATAATATGTGTAAATAGTATGAAACTAACAAAAAAGCATAACAAAATACTAAATCAACAAGAAAACTTACCAAAAATACTAAGATTAAGCTTGAAGATTTAAATCCTTTGGAGCTTGGAATTGGATTCTTTGAAAAAAGAAGGAATGTTAATTAGAAAGTAGAATGAAGAATGATGGGGTTTGGGTGCTTCATGTGGCTTTTAAGAAGGAAAATGTGATAAGACTCATGCCTAGTTATTTGTTGGATGATATGTTTATTCACTAGAGGTTTGCTTGGAAGACTGCCAATTGTTCATGGGAAAATGAATTAAGCATCAAATCATAAAGTCAACACCTCATAACTACTTTATTTGGCCGAAAACTCCATGGAACTCCTTAGCATGGCTGAAATCACATGTGATTTCAGCTTAGGGGAGGAGATTTCGGCCTAGGCTTTTTGGGGGTGTTTATTTCGGTCCAAATGGTGCTCCAAGGTAGTATTTTCGGCCTTAGTGGGTTCTAGGTTGTTGATTTCGGTTTGGGTGTTCTAGGGTGGGTGGGGTACTAAGTCTAAATACTAATAAACAATGTTTTAAATCCATGATTTCTATTCCAACTATTTGATTATTCTTGCTTTGTTAAAACTTGTTTACTTTCAAGAGGTTATCGTAAATATGATTTCCAAAGTATATATACTTATATACATATACTTATGCACTTTTGGTTTTCAAGGTTTTATTATAATAGGGTTACAATTTAGACCTTGCTTGATCCAAATCTTTCGGGTTGTCACATTTTAGAGGGATGAAGGCTGAATATAATAGGGTTTGGTGGTGAGTTAAGGAGCTTAAATAGGGTCCAAGACCCTAAATTAGGGTTTGGGTCGGACTGGAGTACCCCCAGCGTACTCCCTACTTACCCACGATCACAAAACTTCCGAAGGCCATAACTTCTTCGTTATAAGTCTGTTTCCGACAATCCTTATATGCACGAAGAGGTAATGAGAAGCTCTACACTTCTGTTAACTCATACTTTCCTTAAAACTTCCCGAACAAAAATCCAATTTCCATAAAAGCCCGAACTAACACTTTACCGAAATACTCCTTGGCTCCAAAACACAAACCGAACTCCCACATCATCCAAATTACATTACCCACACGCAAATGGGTCTAAATCTCTTTTCCTCAAAGGCCCCAAGCTTGATGATACTCGGTCTTCAGGTCACCACCCCGCATTAGGAAACGATTTAGAACTAGGCGTTACATATGCTTTGAGATTCTCCATTTTTTGTAACTGGCATACACACAAGAAATGTCCATGTGTGGCATGATGATTGGGTGAGGTCGATGTAAACAATATTTATCTGTTCCTTTTGGCCTATGGTACAATCAATATCGTTAGGACGCTCGATGAACAGTTTGAATTCTTGATTAGGATTGACGTCATTTCATATCTTACGTTCATACGAGTGTCAAAAAAAAAGTGGATGTTTGATTACTTACTTGTAGGACTGATTCATACCTTTGCATTGTGATATTAGTACTTGTTCTAGATGGCATACCTTATGCTAACTTTGTGACATTGGTGTAAACCATTATTAATGTTACCTTATAGTTTTTGTGTCATGTGTAAGAGGAAATATGTTGGAGATATGACAACCAACACAAAATGTTGTAAACATTACATCAACCTATTGGGTTGCACACAAAGTACAATTTAATAGCGAGAAATATAAATAAAGGTGCTAGTTTGTTATTCATCATTAATATGGTGGTTGAACCAAAAACAGAGGTGGGCTTTACTTCAAATTAAGCATATTTTAGTTATGATTTAATAATTATATACTTATTTATATATAATTATCTAATTAATTCAAATCGTTGCTTGGTGGGAAAGTTAAGCGTTAGGGTTTGCCTATAAAAAATAGCCCTTGGTTCAGCTCTCTCCCATTCCCTTTCACTTAATATCTATCATTTCTCCCCTTGCTTTCGATAGTAGAAACACACACACACACATTCTTGGTGTTTACTTGGTCTTCAAGCGACCGAGTTCAACCATGGGAGAAGGGTTCCAAGTTATTTTCGTTGAATATTTCTTTGGGGTGGGAAATAATAGAGAAACTCCATTTTGGGTTTTCAATTTCATCCAAAATCATCACAAGATAATCGATTCAATGTACACAATTCGCAAACCTTCTTGTAAATTACTTTTGTTGCAAGTATCCATTGAACATAAATCATTGGTTGCATATGATGGTCGACTTTTATAATTCCTCTATTGTTTTTTATTGTTTTGAAAACCATCATGACCCAACAAGAATTAACATAATGCAAGAGATATGTAGACAAAGACGACCATAAGCATTATAAAGAAGTTATCGGTAATACTCTTTGATATCTAAGTTATGACAAATGAGATAATGTATTCCGAGAATACCAGTAAGAGAGCATAAGCGATACATAAATGTAGTGTTAGTTGCTCTTGGTTTATATACAAGATGCTCATAAGGAGCGATGATGGTGGAAGTATCTTACATAATATTGTTTACATCAAGTTACAAAGTACAACTTGAGTTTAGTGTTCAACATAGATGATCTTTGAGGGATTGTTTGGTACTTTACGTATCTAGGGTACTGTTCTGGTAAATCGGCGAATTCGAATCCAGACTTTCGAATCGCACTCAGATGATCCGGATCCGGAAGGTGGGGTACATACATACATACATACATATATCAACAAGCAAATGATTTTTTATGGTTTCCAATTCTCTAAGATAAATTCAATTAACAAGTTCAAAAAATGATATGAAGCAAGTGCCACATCGCCTCACAATGTGTAGGATATTGTATTTGTTTTGTCGGCATCTTAAAAAGATCATAGTGCACCCCAAAGGCCCAAACACAACCATGTCGAAAAAGTGAAAAAACTCATCACTTTGATGGAAAAGAAAAAAAGTTATTAAAAGAGACTACAGGAAGCTCGTGTGTGCAACGTGGTCCATATGGTCGCACATCCACACCGCATGTGTTTTGGCATCCCGACATTGTTTTATCATATCGCCTATCACTTGCTTCTTTGCACAAAAAGAGATTCCTTATCCTTTCCAAACCCCAATTCTTTTACAACACAACACATAATAACCCATATTTGTCCTAACAATATGAAATCTATCAAAAGTCATCAAAAACGAAAGTAAAAAAAGAAGCAAATATCAAAACAAAGTGTTTTAAAACTCAATTTAACACCACCTAGGCTCATAAGCTTTACAAGAAAAATCCTCAAATCACTATTTCTTTTCCCTTCATAGCAACTAAAATTTACAAAATTTTAAACTGATAAAAATAATACATAAACAACATATCCTTAAACCTTCTAGAAGATGAAAAAAAAAGTTCACAAAATTGATATAGAATGATACTCACATTTTGTTTTATGTTGACCAAACAACCCAAAGTCTACGTGTACATTTCTAAAACCAAAATAAAAGATCAAAGTTTTGAATATATGAAACTAAATCCCTTCTCTATGATACAAACAAGTTTTTTTTTTCCATTAATTTTGTACCTCCAATTAAATCTAGTTCAAAGGTGAATTCACCTTCTTCATAATCATCTCTTTAGTTAGTCCCCCAACTCCTCTGCATAAAATACAAAACTAATTTATTATAAAATACAAAACTAATCGAATTCAAAGGTGATTATAGCATTGTATTTGTAGGTTAAAAAAGGACCTGAATTAATTTTAACTGCAGTAAGTAAAGGACCTCTGTGAATATTCCATTTGCAACATCATTTGTTGACAAATAATAATGTCACATTCAACCTGCTACCTTTATTGCACCCATTTCATCCATCTTTGAACTGCTCTTATGCTGCAAAATTAAATATATAAAAACACTATTCTATATAATATATATTTGATATTATGATCTAATAATCTACTCAAGTCATTTTATTTTTAAGTACATCCAATCCAAGTTACCTTACTTTTCTTGTGTCTGTGAATGTCATTCATATCTTCATCTCCATCATGCTTCCTTTTCTGAAACCATATTTCAAAACACCACCATTACAAAACCCTAAACCCTAAATCAAAAAGCTATATAATATTAGTACTTGGTAGCATTAGCAAACCTTTTCATGATGACTACTTTTATCCTTCTTTTTTTCCTTATCTTTACTTCGATCTTTATGGCGATGTTTATGTTTCTTATGTTCTTTATCTTTATCTTTATCCTTGTGTTTCTTATGCTTCTTTTCCTTCTCCTTCGATTCACTTCTAGATTTTCCTGCTACAGTAGGAGTCCCTTTCTCTGACTACAATGCAAGTTAGTAAACAAGGGCAGTTTCGGTATTTTTTTTTTGTTTTGAAGTTTTGGAAAATGCTTACAGATGGAAGGTCAACAGGAGAAGAAGTCTCGCGTAACTGAAAGGCTTCTCTTAAGGTGTCAAGGTCAAAGGGCTGTATGCGTGTATTTGTCTCTCTTGATGTATTATTATTGTTCTGAATGAGTTGATCTAATTGCATTCCTTCACCTTTTCTAATTTCCGAGTCTCCAACAACATTATGAAGGTAATGTGTGTCTGAAATTGATAAAGGAAGTGGCTTTTTGCAGAAGAACTCATGGTGAGGTAACAATTTATAGTAGCTTATAAGATCAACAGCACCCGTAAGTTCCCTTGGCCCTAATATAAAGCAGACACTTAGTTTCTTGATACATAATGAGATTTAAATAAAAAAAAAACTCACCTTTCCCAAACTTCTTGCTTTCAGGATCCATTTATACCATCATCACCTAAGAAGGATGATTAATTTTCTTCAATCAGAAATACCATCATAACATAATCTGAAACTTAATGGCGACTGTATATATTATTAAGAAGGATGATTAATATCCTATCTCTTCTCAAGAAAGAAGTGGGCTATTTATTTGCAAAAATGGGCTTAATTTCTTTCACATGTGGCAATTTTGCTAGGATCATGTACAGAGAGAGATAGACTGATTTGAAAAGCAAAAAGGTTTCAAGAAAAAACTGAAAGATTCCTAAATATGTGTTATTGTACACTAAAAGACTTGAGGAGTAGAATAGGCATCAGATGTGCATGAATAAAAGATCAAAAATCTTGAAATCAGAAAAAGGATGCAATGAATACATGTAAGTGTGATCATAGAGGATAAGATTGTAACCTAGACCATACAGTAAGTTATGGGGACTGTTTCATCGAGGCACAAGATTGAATCTAGAAGCAAAAGTCAATCTAATCATGTCAAGAACCAAATTTTACAGAAAAAATCATTTTTCAAGTCTGGTAAAACCCTAAGTCTCCTTTGTACGTAGAAATAGTATACATAAACACTATATATGTAACAAAATTAGTACTCTTTATGGATTTAGATCTTCAAGTAGAGGGGCAACATATCAGAAAATGGAAACCCAATAAGTCAAATGTTTATTCTTACTCTAGGTATAGGTATAGGTATGTAACTCACCCCTATAAATGTAAATATGTACTTCTTGAATGCATTCAATCCAAATAGAAGCAATTCCGTAAAAAGTCTTGCTCCAATCAACTTAACCCTAATTACGCACTATATTATCCAATTTTCGAATGAAATCCAGCGTCAAGAAACCACACCGCCTAATTTCAACCCTAAATTCCGCACTTGGTTGCACTGAATTGCTAATATCCAACTGCTTTTCCTTAGTTTAGCGCAAGACTGAACTCGATCTTTTCTAGAAGTATATTAATGTTTAACAAATAAAACTAAAAGGTAAATAGCAATGGTTTCTCTTCAAAGTGTTGGAAAATCTTGTAACGCGAAGAACTTACCTTGCTTAATACAGAAGAGATCCGTAGAGCTTAAATTGGACCAATTCGCATCAAATTTCTCCCACAATTAGGCAAATTCGAGTGAATAACTACCGAAATAGTTAGACAAATAGGTAATTTTTAGTCTTTGTCTTCGTCGTCGTTTTCCCCTTTAACTGAAATAAACCCTAATACCTGTAAAAGAGACTCTCAAGTGTTGAAAATTATTGCCTTCGCTTCGCGCATCTACTAACGAGAATGGACCTCTGTGTGTGTGTTATTACAGCAACTACGTATATATAAAAAATGTTTTGGACATTATTGCCCTTGATCCATTTCCATTCTCTAGTCTCTCTTTTCCATAATCGAATTTGGAAGGGGTTTTTTGGTAATTTAGAAGTTACAACAAAAATGGAGTTCGATTAAATAAATAATTAAAAGATCGGGTCTAATTTTATCACATAATTATCTATAGTTTTATTGTTGGGTGTTTAATATGACAAAACAAATACTAAGAAACATGCATAATCATAAATCATAGTTATGACTTATGACACATTCTTGGTTTTGATTTTAATCTAATCAATAACCATAACGATAATAGCTAATAAATGGTTGTATACCATATATTATGTCGTTATCAAATGAAATTTTAATATATGTAGAGGCAGTAGAGCTAACCAACCACATACAATTTTAAAATTATATGATATATGTAAAGTATGACAAGCAGTGTTATACTAATAGTGATAATATGCGATAAAAGTTAGTCTTGTGTTTGCAAATTCTTTATGGGATCAACATTTTATACCTATTAGGAGTGATACATGTTTTTTGTATGTCTCTATCTATAAAGTTATATTTATTTTTTTATAGTTGGATGATATTTGTGTGGTATGTTGCTTTTTGCTACCCAATGTAATTTTTTAGAAATTTATGGGTATAAGTATACTTCTGATTATCATGTGTCCTTCGTGAGAAGTTTTTTGGATGGTTGTACTTTGACTACAAGTGACATTTTAACTAGATAGGACAATTATGTTCCTATCAAGTTGAATATTCTGCTTTGGAGAGTTGTTGATCGGATACTCACTCGTGTCAATCTTCTGGATAAAGGTTTTTGTTTTGATTTATTGCTTTGTCCTTGTTGTGAGCATGATAAGGAAAACAAAAATCATTTGTTCATTACTAGTTCCTTGATCATGGGCATTTGGAAGCTTATCGGGAGGTGGTGAGATATGCTTTAATCAAGTTGGTTGATAATGTAGAAACTTAAGAATTTGAGAGGAAAGAACTTCCGTTTTTTCTATATTGAATCAATCATAGATACAAGGTATTTATACAGAGCTAATAACAACAAACTCTTATCTTCAACCTATTCTAGGAACTAAACAAACTATACAACAAAAACCACTTCCTTTACTTTGCTCTCATCAACACTCCCCTTCAAGGTGGAGAATGTATATCTATCATTCCTAGTTTGTCAATAGAGCAATGGAAAACTCTCCCACATACAACTTTAGTCCGCAAGTTGATCTTTAGAGGTCACATGAGGAAGTTCCACAATTTTCCTTTCAAGATGATCCTTGATAGAATGTCGATCAATTTCAACATGTTTAGTCTTGTCGTGTTGCACTGGGTTGTTGGCAATCTTTACAACAAATTCATTATCACAATGCAACTTCATTGGAGATGTTAGAGATATCCCTAGGTCCCTTAAGATTCTCTTTATCCATAGTAGCTCACATACGCAATGTACCATTCCTCTAAATTTAGCCTCTTCACTTGACCGTGAGACAACCTTTTGTTTCTTGCTCCTCCATGTCATGAGATTTCCTCCAACAAATGTAAAATATCCTGATGCTAACTTTCCATCCATTTTATCTCCTCCTCAGTCCGTATCTGTATACCCAATAACTCGATGACCTTTGTTTTTTTCCAAAGAACAAGCCCTTACCCAATAAGGATTTGAGATACCTTAATATTTGATATACTGCATTCATATGGTTTTCACTTGGTGCATGCATGAAACGACTAACAACACTCACAACATATGCTATATCTGGTCGTGTACGTGACATGTAAATAAGCTTCCCAACTGATTTCGGTACATGTCTCTATTAGTTGGAAATTAATTTGGAAGAATCGATAACCCATTATTAGTTTCAATGGGGGTATCAGTAGGTATGCAATCCAACATACCAGTCTCACTCAATATATCTAGAATGTACTTCCATTAGCACATAGTGATCCCAGATTTTGATCTAGCTACCTCGATTCCTAACAAATACTTTAGGTGTCCAAGATCCTTCAATTCAAATTCAATGGCAAATAAGTCTTGTAGTCTCGCTGTAACATTGAAACGTCCCAAAAATAAGACCCAAATTTTTTATTTTTAATTTTATAAAATAGTAATCCAAAACATTATCATACAACCCGAAAATACCAAAGTATGTCACAACATCATATCATATCAGAGTAAATCTCAAAATGCGGAAAAAGGTGGTATGTGCTCTGTAATCATCTCAGGCTCTTCCCTTTCAATCCTAAAGTACCTGAAACATAAACTGAAAATCGTAAGCCTAAAGCTTAGTAAGTTCCCAAAATACCACATATCATACATAAATAAACACATATTGGGCCCCCGCACCACATTGGGCCTCGCCGACATCGAGTCCCACTCGGCGTTAAGCCCCATCCGACATCGAGCCCTGCTTGGATTATATATTTGTCATTCAGTAGGCCCCGCCCGGTACATATAATAAATATATAACATATAATCATGCTAACACATGCGATAATCACAAAACAATAGCATACAATACAGTCATTAGGCCTCGCCCGGCATCGAGCCTCGCTTGATATACATACCAGCTCATAACATATGCAAGCGTCACGCACACATCTAGCCCCTATCATAATAATATTGGGATGACATTGGTGCCTTAAACCCGCTATACATAGTAGGGGTGTGCAATAAACCGCACAAACCGCCCGCACTACACCACACCGCACCGCATAATGCGGTTTTGGACGGTCACGGTGCACTTTATGGTCTGTAACTTTTCTAAACCGCACTATATGGTGCAATTTGTGGTTTATATTACAAAACCACGGTTCAAACCGCACCGTATTTTATATATATATATATATATATATATACATATATATATATATATATATATATATATATATATATATATATATATATATATATATATAGAGAGAGAGAGAGAGAGAGAGAGGGGTTCAATTGAGAAAAAAGGTTGAGAATGAGGGAATCATTCTCAGCCACTCATTTATTTTTGCCGCAAAAACCTCCGTCGTACCAGTAGAAATGGGAAAGGAATAGACATGTGTTTTTGAACAAAACATGTTTCCTTAAACTATGCTAATCATGACCTTAATCTATACAAAAACATAGTTTTTTCAATTTTTTTTTTTAATTTTTAAGAAGCTATTTTTATCGAAAAATGATTTTAAATATACCAAAATTCATGATTTTTTATTCTTTACAAATAGACATCAATATTGATATAGTTTTAAGATAAAATAACAATTTTTTATATATATATTTTCAGCTATCGTTATTCATAAGTGAATAAAAATGAATTAGATTTTTACTACAGTACATTCGTTATTCAGTTATGAATAAAAACTATGATTATTTTTTTTACAGTTTAAGTATCATTCATATATGAATATAGGATATAATAAACATAGTATATTCATATTTAAATATTAGACGATGCATTCACTTATGAATATTACATAGTATATTCACTTGTGAATATTAGATGATATATTCACTTATGAATATTAAATAATATTTTCATATCTGAATATTGCATAGTATTACATGGTATATCACATGTGAATATTACATAGTATATTCATTTGTGAATATTAGATGATATATTCACTTATAAATATTACACAGTATATTCACATATGAATATTACACAATATATTCACATATGAATATTACAAGGTATTTTCACAAATATATATATATATATATATATATATATATATATATATATATATATATATATAATTTTTATATGTTATTCACATATGAATAACATACAAACTTTCATATTTGGTTTTTTGTTTTAATAATCATATACTGAGAAAACATGTTCATATATGAATATAACGTGCTAATTTAGTTCATGCATTTCATCAAACAGTTGGAGTGCATACAATTTAACTTTTTTTTAAAAATGTTAGAAATATGATATTTTGACTATTTAAATCTACAAAAGAGTAGATTGATAGAGAATTATATGAAATTAAAAAAAAAAAAAACAATATGATATTTTTCTAACCTCAATTTTCAAGTTTTATTTGATAATTGATGTTGAATGAATGATATGAAGTGGATTTTTGTTGATTATCGATGATGTTGATCTAATAACGCTGGGAGTATAATTAATCATAGATGTTGAAGATCTGATCGTATTCAAGCACAATTGAATGTTGAATTAAAAGAACCAAAAACGAATTTTTGTTGTTAACTGTTGAATCGTGTTGATTATTGACGAAGATCGATGATTGATTAGCATTGGATGATGTTGATTATGGTTTAATTGAAGAAATATGGATGATTGTTGAAAGTTGGAGAAGAAATTTGAATGATGAACGATGAATGGGTTTGAACTACAGATACGTATTTGAGATTGAAGGTTGTTCTCATATTTACAAGTTTACCACCGTGTCTTTTTATGCTTGAATAAAATGAGTGGATGAGAATGATTCTCCCATTCTCAACCTTTTTTATTTTCTCAATTCAACCCACCTCTCTCTCTCTCTCTCTCTCTCTCTCTCTATATATATATATATATATATATATATATATATATATATATATATAGGGTAAAGTGAATATACCTAATAACCTTATATAAGCTTAGGTACCTAACCATATTATACTATATTGTTTTGCATTATATTTCCATTGCAATCGTCTAAGGTTCTTAAACTTCAACCCTTAACTTGATTTACTTCCAGGATTTTCAAAGATTTTCAAACATTCACCATTATATTCCTCCTACACCATTTGATTTGCAACGGTAGTATATGAAGCCCACCAGGGGATCTCCGATAGAAAGGCGTCATTTGAAGGAAGATAATAGTGAAGGTCCAAAGATTTTAGAAGCAATCAAGTTATGAGGTTGAATTTTAAGAACTTTGGGTGATTACAATGCATATATGATACAAAATTACGTAGTATGATGTAGTTAGGTACCTAAGTTTATATACGGTTGTTAGGTATATTTACTTTACCCATATATATATATATATATATATATATATATATATATATATATATATATATATATATATATATATATATATATATATATAT